CCATTTCCTCTGACGCCCTCCCAGAGCCGGGGTGCCTGTGTAACTGGCCTTGGGGGCTGGGGTGGGAGAGGGGCGGCCAGCAGCGCCCACTGGTGTATCACTGTTTCTCACGCCTCCTCTTCCTGGCCTGACAGGGTAGCGCACAAGGCCAGCTACTCCCAGGCATCCCTGACCTTCCGCACTGCCCCCCTCTTCCCGAGTGGATGCCTTGGTGCAGGCTGAGTATGGCAGCCGCCCCCCCAGTGCGGGGTTCTGGCCCCGGTTGGAGGTACAGAGCCAGGGCAGAGTATGCAGGGGGCTTGGGCAGCCAGTCTGTTACACACTCCCCTTCAAAGCACTTCACGGACTTGCTGCTCTTCCTCCTTTACCCAGTACGGGATGGGGAAGGGTTAATGGTCTTCGCTGGCTGAGGGGGAGCACTTAATCAGGAGTCAGACCCAGGGGGTGAGGGGGCACAGCCTCTCCCATGAAGGTCTTCATTGCCCTGGGGCCAGAGCCCGCCCCCTCCCAGATATGTATAATTTAACACAGTTGCCTGAAAACATTTTGTAAAGCATTATAGTAATAATTATGGACAAGGCCCAGTGTGTGGCTGTTTTCTTGTGGTTCTCGTGCTGCTGTTTGCCCCCCACCCTGGGGACTCGGAGCGGCCAGGCACGGTGCAGTGTGCACTGGGAGTGTGGCACTGGCTCTCGCTCAGGTTTCAGTGGTTGGTGGGGCAACGTGGCCCGGAGGCCCCAGGAGGCCGGGCTCAGCCTGGAGGCAGCATTCCCCAGCCTCATTACCATCCTCCGGAGCAGCAGGGCGCAGGCTGCGTGTCTTTGCGTCTACCTGCCGGAACACCTCTGCTGCCCCGCGCACGTGTGGCTAGGCTGACGGACCAGGACAGATGCACGCAGAGTTCAGACAAGTCAGGAAGGAGAGTGATGAGGGAGATGGCAGAGGTGGTGTTGAGCTGGGCTCTGAGGCGTGGAAGGCACAGTGAGAATGCAGTCCAGAGTGCCCTTCACCAAGTCTGTGAACACCCACAGCATGCCCAGGAGGGGGCCCTGTGTTTGGGGTCAATGGTAAACCTCTTTGCCCAAAGAACACAGGTCGGGAGGAAGAACAGGCTATTTCAGTACAGCGTTGTAGGGCCAACCGGAGGGGCATCTGGCCCAGCAGGGGGGCAGGCTGGCTTGTGTGGGCCCAGGAGTTCACCAGGTGTGGGAGGTGTTCCAGGCAGAGGCAAGAGCTGGAGACACCTGGGGCCGGTGAGCTGGACAGGGCACAGACCTGAGTGAGTCCGGTCAGCAGGGAAGGGAAGGGAAAGTGACCTCTGGCTAGAATGCAAGGTAGACCAAAAAGGGAGGTTGAGGCCAGCATACGGAGGGCCTGGGGGGGGGGGGGGGTGTTTAGCTGTGTCCTGGCTGACGGGCAGCCTGCCACAGGAGCATGGTTATCGCTGTGTGTGGAAGGCAATGGAGTTAGAGCTGAGGGAGTTAGAACTGAGATCGTGTAAGGGGAGAGAGTACTGACTGGCCTGTCTTCACAGGGCATTTTGTGAGGCTTTGTGGTCAGGGAGCAGTTAAGCCCATACCTGCTTTCAAGGGGGAAATGGAATTTACAGAGAACCCTTGGTTTGGGGTTCTGTTCATGTTCCACTTTCTCCCAACCACACAAGTTGCAGCCCTATTACATGCAGTCCTGCCTCCCTACCTCCATTCTGCCGGTTACCAGTTCCGTTGGTTCTATGGCACCTCCCCTCCCCGCCATTTCCTTCCTGTGATGGCCACAGCACTCCGGCTCAAGACCCCGGCTCACCTTCCCCAGCCCTCGATCTGCTCTTGGAGCTGAAGCCCAGACAGCCTTGGTTCTGCCACTTCCTAATCCACAGTGCCCAGCACTTCCTGCTGCCTGGGGAAGTCCCCTCATGTCCAGGCCCTTAGGGATCTGTCTCCCCGTTTTACGCTTCCCCATCATCACGCCCCGCTGTGCGCGCCAGCCTCTGCTCATGCTGGGAGTGACTTTGCCATCAGTGGGAGAGCCATCCTTTAAGCCAAGCGCTACGCAGCATCCCCCTCCTCCCTCTCGGCAGGGATGGTGTGCTTAGAGCTCTGGGCCGCGGGAACAAAGTGACAGATGAGAAGGTGTAAGGCTAGAATGAACCTGTGGTGTTGGGAAGGGGGGTATGGACTCCTATATGCATGCATACAGATTCTGAAATAAAGGTCTCTCTGACCGCTAGGGTTGGAAACATTTGTGTATTTCCTAGCCCTGACTGCTCAGAGGGCCTAGAGGCAGTGGCACTCAGTAGTAATGAGCACATAGAGTGTTCAAATCTTGGTTTCTAAATATTATTCTTCAATAAAAAATAAAGAGCTCCTTGGGGAAATTCTGATCTAAAGCAGAGAGAATATAAAATGAGTCTGGAATATCTTATGGTTCCATAAAACAAGCATGTGCTCAAAAAAGGAAGGAGGCTTGTCTTGACACAGGAACCAACCTGAAGTAGCACCCAGTGGTCAAATCTGCAACGAATCATAAGCCATAGAACACAATCGTGATGAGTCCATTCTGACAGATTTATACGTGAGGGAGAAGGGACAGTTCTTCCTTACAGGAAAATTGCAAGTAATTAATGTTTACTGATCTATTAGTACCATAAAGAAATGACACACTAGTTTAAAGCAACATAAATACAGTTCTATAGAAGTCTGACATAGCCCTGGGTGGTAGCTCAGTTGGTTACAGCAGCATCCCAATGTCAGAGCACATACAAGGATCAACCAATGAATGCATAAATAAGTGGGACAATGAGTCAGTTTCTCATGCAAATCAATAAAAATAAAAAATAAAGTTAAGTCTGGCATGGGTCTCACTGCTGAAATCGGTGGCAGACAGAACTCGTTCCCAGCTGCTGGAGGGTACCTGCATTCCTTGGCCCGCGACTCCCTTCTTCCCTCTTCAAACCAGCAACACCGCACCCCTCTATTCTTCCAGTTACAGCCTTCTCTGACTCCTGCCACCCTTGTAATTCCTGGGCCACCCACACAACCAGGGTAATCTCTATTTTAAGGTCAGGCCATTAAGCAACCTCCATTCCAGCCGCCGCCTTAATAACCTTTCGCTACCAGACCTAAGATTCCATTTCTGGGCCTGAGGACATGCACATCTTGGGTGAAGAGAGGCTGTTACTCTGCTGCCACCACCTGGATATGTACTGGAGACTTCTTTATTTAGAGAGGATAAAGCAGCAAAGTGGGCTTTGAGATGAGGGGGGGAGAAGGTAGATCGATTAACAATATAGAAAGTCATTTAAGGTGGAAATGGTAGAGGCAGATTTAATAAATGGCTACCCAGTGTTCCCTTTTCCACAGAAGGGGTCTTCAATGGCAGATAGATGCTTGCGCATTTCCTGGAAATGAGGTGACATAACAAGGAATGGAAGCAATAGTTGTGACCATACCTTGAAAAGACAACACAAGCTTGGGGAAAGGGGGCTTTTCTCTTTGACTCTCATTAATTCAAATGAAATATCTAGTTTGAATCAATTTTGTGAGACTGTAAGTTCCTCTGTGGTTAATACCAACACGAAGTGGAAAGGAACTATTTCCATTTTATAGGTAAGCACAGTTTTTGAAAATTATCCAGTCACAAATATAAAGTGGCTAAATTGGGCTGTCTCTGCTCAACTATTTTTGGTGCTGTTCATTATTATGGCCAAGTTCAAACACACACAAAAGCAGGAAGAACAAGGACCTCCTCGTACCTACCTACCTACGGGGATCAATCACAACCCAAATCACTTCTCTGTTTTAAAGCTAATCCCAGGCATATTTTACCCCTAAATATTGGTATGTACCTCAAAAGCATAAAAACTAACTCATTAACAGCTAAAAATGTAATAAATCCATAAACATCAAATACCCAGAGTTTAAAATATTCTAATTTCTTTTCTTACAGTTGATGTGTGTTGGTTAATCCTCACCCAAGAATGTTTTTCCAGATTTTTAAGGAAAGTGGGAGAGAGAATGAGAGAAACATCAATGTGAAACACATTGATTGGTTGCTCCTGCACGAGCCTGACCAAGGCCTGGGCCGGGGAGAAGCCTGCAACCAAGGTACATGCCCTTGACTAGAATCAAACCTGGGACCCTTTGGTCCGCAGGCCAACGCTTTATCACTGAACCAAACCTGCTAGGGCTATAGTTGGTTTTTAAAATCAAAATCCAAACAAGGGCCGAAGCCGGTTTGGCTCAGTGGATAGAGCGTCGGTCTGTGGACTGAAAGGTCCCAGATTCGATTCCTGTCAAGGGAATGTACATTGGTTGTGGGCACATCTCTGGTAGGGGGTGTACAGGAGGCAGCTGGTCCATGTTTCTCTCTCATCGACATTTCTAGCTCTCTATCCCTCTCCCTTCCTCTCTGTGGAAAAATCAATAAAATATATTTTAAAAAAAAATCCAAACAAGGTTCGCCACTGTTCTTGCTCTCATCCATTTTATTCCATAGGTTCTTTCTTTTTTCCCCTCTACTTGCAATGTGTTTGTTGACAAAATCTGGTCATTGTTTTCTAGAATTGTCCCATATTCTGATTTTACTGAATGTATAACTGAGCTTTGAACCTGGGTCCCTCAAAACTTCAAAGCCCCCCAAGATCTCCTTAAAAGTCACCCTTTTTAACAATACTATGAGGACTTACCATCTGCCAGAGTCTTAATAAATATTATTACTTCTGACACTTGACAAGATATTTATCTTTTTTGTGGATATAACGTATCCTGAAGAACATGTCCCCAGTGACAAAGTTAAATACTGGAGCTAATATTACAAGTCCAGTCAGCTGGACTCCACAGCACGTGCTTTCCCCGTACAAGGTCATTCCAATCATGGCATCATGGGACTGTCCGTCTCAGTGTACATGAGTGGATGGCAAGCGAATAGTAATGGATAGCTATTCCTGACATAAAAATTACCCATATCTCGCCAAAAACAGGAAAGAAATAAGACCAGCCAACTGTGGGAGGAGCCAAAGCAATGGCTTGTCTTTATGGGAAACAAACTTTACAGCACATGTTGAGTGAGTTAGTGCAGGGGCTCAGTGGGACAACTGGTGGGGCACCAGCTTATAATGGGTTCCACAGCTAGGGCATCGCTGGGTCTCGCCTTTGTGCACCCAGAACCAGATGACAGCGCTGTTGTCCTCTTCACCTAAAAGGAGAAAGTGGTTGAAGGGCATCTAGTCTAGGAGAGGAGACTAGCAATATGACTCTCTTTTCCTCAGATACCGAAGACACAAAGTTATGGCTGACACCTTGAGATCAGTTCAAGGTATCCCTCCATTTTCCAGATGAAGAAACAGGCCTGAGTTTACTTGTGAGAAAACTGACCATATTTCAGAGTCAGTATAGGTTCTAACTGTTCCCGCCTACGCAGAATCCCAAAGCAGGGTCATTCTGACATGCAAACCTCCTGCCTAAAATGACATCTAGCAAAGAGCAAGTACAATAAATATTTTCTGGATGAATACGCCTTCATGTTGCATCTCCAATGAGCCAGTATTAGATATTTTATGCCATTGACAGTAAGGATGACTTACTCAGGTATAATGAGGTTTGAGAGGGCCAGGACCCTTAGAACAACTTTTACAAACACACAAAAGATTTGAAGCAGTTTACGGACATCCTGTAGAATATGGCATATTAAAGAAAAAGAAAATAGTGATGAGGTACTTACAAATGCAGCCCACTATTCGCTTGTTGGTGATGGAAGGGACTAAATTAGGGTCTTCCTTGGTCCCTGAAGCCGCCTTGGGGGCTAGCATATTGTATGGGTCCTGAAAAGAAACAAGAATTCAGCCATTGTGCCATAGAACCCCTACTCTAACCAGTGCTGTTACCACAGACAGGTTCCTGGATCAAATGCTCCCAGAGAGGAGAATGCTCTGGTCCCATCCAAGGTCATGAGCTCCAAAGACACAGAAAGGAGTTTCTGCTCACCAGTCCCTTCCGTGCAGCCAACATGACCTCCCGCTCCAGCCCAGTCGCCTGTTCGTCATCAGTAGGAACACCACCTAAAGGAAGATTCGTGAATTTTGATGTCGACTAAAATTATCAAGACCGAAAATGCATCCAGTTTAAGTGAACTCAGAAGCTCCTAAAGGCTACCCATACCCACTGTCTCCTAAGGGCCAGAGTCATGATTCCCCAAAGTGACAGCACCAGGGAAATGTTTTCTTCCTCCAACCACCGAGGCCCATTATTCGGCACATTTTTTTTTAAAGCAGGTAAATCAGAGTCCTGGTGGGGTTCATCCAATTTACAGCGCGCGCGGGTCTGAAGGGCGGCTTAGCCCCCACCCATTGCGCTTGCAGCACCTACCCCCAAGGTCACCCGGCACCTCCTTTTGGGATTCTTTCCCAGCAGGGTCACCTAGGTGGGCTGGTGCAGCGGTGGCCGGGAACAGCGGGGAAAGTCGGGCGGAGCCTGAGGCCGCAGGGCTGGGGCGGCCGCGGCCCGGAGGAGCTGAATGGCCGCCCGTTGCGCAGTGCTAGGACCCCCACCCCGGGGAGGGCCCGGCGCCGCCCCGGCGCGTCCGCCGGCCGAGTACCTCCTGACGCCATGGAGCGCACCGCGGCCGCCGCCCTGGGGCCGCGGGCCCTCAGGGCCTGCGCGACCAGCGCTCCAGTTCCGCGAAGTAACCTTGAAGCCATGTCGCCCGCTACCACAGCAGCACTTCCGGGACAGGCTCTGGAGACGGGCGGGACTTCCTGGGAGGGCTGCTTCCGCCGTGGCGTCAGTCTTCCGCTTCCGCCCTGACCAACGTCCACCGGCCCGCACCGGCCCCGCTCACGTGACTGCCCGGGGCCTGAAAAGTATGCGCATGCTCAGTATTGCCTTGCATTTACCCCATCGCGCCCTCATGGAGTTTGGGACTTCTCATGGTCTCGGTCCTGGGTGGCGGGCTGCGCCGGGCAGCTCTTTTTGCGACGTGGGACCCGTATCCTCGTGGGTGGAAAGCGGCAACCACACTGGCATTCTTGTGCCTCTTGTGCCTGTTGCCTGATTGTTGTGCTCCCTAAACGTGGAGGCTGCTATGGGAAGTCATTAAACCTGTGTCTATCAAGATGCTTGCAGGATCCCAAAAGATTTATTTATTTTTCTCTTATTTTATTTTTAATATATTTTTATTGATTTGAGAGAGGGAGAGAGAAATGTCAATGATGAGAAAGAATCATAGGTGGTCTGCCTCCTGCATGCCCCCTACTGGGGATCGAGCTCATAACCCAGGCATGTTTCCTTGACTGTAATCAATCCGGGTCCCTTCAGTCCACAGGCGGAAGCTCTATCCACTGAGCCAAACTGTTGAGAGTGTTATAGATGTTCCCTTTTCCTCGCCCCCCACTGTCCTCCTCTATCCACTTCCCTCCCCAGGCCTTAACCACCTACTGTTGGACCCCAAGTTTAGGAGTGGGCTCCTAGGCCCTGTGTTCACTGTTATGCTTGTTCATTGTGATGCTGGTTCTGGCAGTGTGGGAGCCAACACCAACTTGCTGCTTTGGCCTAGCTCACAAGAACTCAGGCAGAAAAAACCTACCCGCAGTGCTGGCATCAGTCTGCTGTTACAAGGGTGTTGAGGTGGCAAAGTCATACAAGTGATGAGGGGCAGGAGAGTAGGGCCAGATTTCGGATTTCTTTTTTTTTTTCTTTTTTTTTAAATAAATCTTTATTGTTCAGATTATTACAAATGTGATCCTCTTCCCCCCCTCAACTGCTCCCCTTCACCAGGTTCCCACCCCACCCTCTGTCCTTTCCCCATCCCCCATTGTCCTCATACATAGGTGCACAGTTTTTGTTCAGTCTCTTCCCGCACCCGCATTCCCCTTTTCCCCGAGAATCGTCAGTTCACTCCCCTTCCATACCTCTGATTCTATTATATTCACCAGTTAATATTGTTCATCAGATTTTTTAATTCCCTTGGTTTTTAGATTCACTTATTGATTGCTACGTATTTGTTGATCATAATTTTTATCTTTATCTTCTTCCTCTTCCTAAATAACCCCTTTCAGCAATTCATATAATTCTGGTTTGGTGGTGATGAAATCTTTTAGCTTTTTTTTATTTGTGAAGCTCTTTATCTGTCCTTTGATTCTGAGTGATAGCTTTGCTGGGTATAATATTTTTGGTTGTAGGTTCTTGCTATTCATCACCTTGAATATTTCTTGCCATTCCCGTCTGGCCTGCATGGTTTCTGTTGAGAAATCAGCTGACAATCTTATGGGTGCACCTTTATAGGTCACTACCTGCTTTTCTCTTGCTGCTTTTAATATTCTCTCTTTGTCTTTTGCTCTTGGAATTTTAATTATGATGTGTCTTGGTGTGGTCCTCCTTGGATTTCTTTTGTTTGGGGTTCTGCGGGCTTCCTGGACTTGTAAGTCTATTTCTTTCCCCAGGTGGGGGAAGTTTTCTGTCACTATTCTAGTATTCTTTCGGTATCTTGCTCTCTCTCTTCTTCTGGAATCCCCATAATTCTGATGTTGGTTCGCTTGAAATTGTCCCAGAAGTTTCTTACACTATCTTCAACTTTCTGGATTCTCTTATCTTCTCCCTTCTGCAGAGGAGTGTCCTCTGGCTCTTTGTGTTCTAAATGTTTGTCTTGATTCTTGCGATCTTCCAGTCTGTTTTTAGGACTTTGTATAATATTTTTTATTTCAGATAATGTTTTCTTCATTTCTAATTGCTCCCTTTTCATATCCTCATAGGTGTCATTTATTTTATCGGCCTTTTTTAGAATATTGTTGAATAACCTTATAACTTTAGTTTTGAACTCAATGTCCAATCTTTTCTTTTCCTCCCTCTCCTTCCTTTGTGTCCTTCTTCTTGTCTGCATTTTAGTTGTTTCCCTGATTTGATGGAATAGCTTTGTGTGCTAGGTGTTCTGGTAGAGCCCAGTAGCACAGCCTTCCCAGTTACCTGCAGTGGACAGTCTTGGTATAGCCCTTTGTGGGCTGTGTGTGCAGTCTTGTTAAGCCTTGCTTATTGTTGGTATCACTGGGAAGCGTTGATCTCCAAGCCAATTGGCTGTGAGGATCAGCAGTGTCTCAGCTAGGAGGGCTTCTGTACTCCGCTTGGATAGGGCGGGGTCTCAGGGTGGCGCAGACAATCTTTGGTTCCCTGTCAGTTTCGCCTTAGAAAAGTCCTGTTCCTGGAGAGTTTCGGTAGATTGGTTGCAGGCGCGCTCACCTCTTTGGCAAAGGTGCAGACAAACTTTGGATTCTGGCCAGTCCCTTCTTAGAGAAAGCCAGCCTCTGGGAGAACTTCTGTGCTCAGCCACAGATGGGGCTGAGTCTCGAGTTGGTGCAGACAAACTTTGTTTTCCCTTCGGCTCCTCCCCAAGTCCCGCAGTAATGGCCGCTGGCTTCACACACCTCCAAGAGATCTCTGCCCTCTGCCCGACAGTCTGTCCTCTCCCTGTCTGGGGCCGTCTATCAGAGCAATAGGGTGATTCTGTTTTCCTCTCGAACAAGAAAGCCAGCTGCGGGTTAGCTGTTCGCCCTCTCCGCGCTCCAGGAGTAAGCCAGTAGTGAACTCAGCCTGGCCCGCCCTCTCTGCGTGCCGGGAGTAAGCCAGCGCCTTTTCGCGCACACAGTTCTCTTACCTTCACAGTTCCTGAGGTTCAGCGTGCCTTCTCTCTCCTTCCCAGATGGCAGAGCCTCCTCTCAGCTAGCCTTCCAGCGCTTCAGGGCAATGCCTCCCCTGTTTTTCAGTTCTAAATTCAAATTTGTTGTGGTAGGCTGCATTCGGGTGTCTACCCTATGCCACCATCTTGGTTTCTCTCTAGATTTCGGATTTCTTGATGATGGGTGAGAGGATGGCCAGACCCAGAAGTTATCAATGATAGATCCTCCTTTAAAAAAAAAAAAATTATTGATTTTTTACAGAGAGGAATAGAGAGCTAGAAACATCAATGAGGGAGAATCATCAGCCACCTGCCTCCTGCACAACCCCACTGGGGATGTGCCCGCAACCAACGTACATGCCCTTGACAGGAATCGAACCCTGGTCCTTTCAGTCCCCAGGCCGACGCTCTATCCACTGAGCCAAACCAGTCTTGGCAGATCCTCCCTTTCTCAGTTGATGGACAGACATAAACCCCACCTGCGGCCAGACATTCCTGAGCTCTGAACCACCAATCAGCACCTGCCAAATACCCTAAGCCCCTATTCCTGAGTCCCTAGGTCCCTAATCAATCAGCGTGTGCTGAGTGCCCTAAACCCCACCCTCTATCATTAAAGGCGATTGTAAGCCCCTCGCTTGCTCTCTTCCGCCCCTCTTCGTGGAAGCAGCCGGCAGGGGTACCCTTCCCTCCAATAAAGCCTGTGTCCTGCCATCCCGATCTCAGGTCTACCTTCTCTATTTAATCTATCAATCAACCAAGGAAGAGGTTGAGGGAGGGGCAGCAGGAAGTGGAATCACAGAACATTCTGTGGCCAGAGTTCTGTTTAAGACGGAGCAAGCACATCTATATCTCCAATGGCCCACAACTAAGGTGTGCTAGCTTCTTAGCAGGGTGGGCATTTAAAGACTTTGCAAACACTGCCCTCCACTGGCTCCTAAGACGTTGTTCACATTGTAAGTGTAGCCCTGTCACAGTCTGGCTTCATGCATTATCAGTGTTCCCTACCAGACAGACTCTCCCTTCCCAGCAAGAATTATGCCTTGCACGGGCCTCATATATAATAGGGTCAAATAAACTTTAGTGTATTTCCTGCTTGAACAGAATAAGCAATGTGCTGAGTAGGGCTTTTGGAGTCAGGTGGTCAATTTTAGGCAAACTGGGGAATGTTGAAGTCCCAGAGGTTCCCTCCTGTCTCCTGCAGGTTATGGTATTTTCAAAAGGACTTGATGGAGCACATCTGGTCTTTGTTAGTATACCCTCCACCAAGAAAAAAAAATGGACTCTCTTCTGAAGCTGAACATTTTTTGCAGTTCATCTAAAGCTGGGTTTGCTTTAAATGACTTCCACTGTTACTCCCTCACTTCCAGTGGAATCCCTCAACAATAAATTAAAACTTTTCCCCTTAAATCCTTTGAATGCTCAAGAACCTATAGTTGATTTGTTCCCGTAGTTAAGTGGTTAGTGAAGGGAGAAAACCTTGGTCTGGAAGACAGATGCTTTGGGATTGAACCCACTGGCCAGCTCAGCCAGTCACATCGCCCCCACCCCCAACATTTCCTCTGCATAGAGACTATGACTAGACTAGGTTTCTATTTCCCAAAGCATAGTCCATGGAATCATAGTCTTTTAAAAAAATATCTATATTTTTTATTGTTTTTTTTACAGAGAGGAAGAGAGGGATAGAGAGTTAGAAACATCAATGAGAGAGAATTATCGATCAGCTGCCTCCCGCACACCCCCTACTGGGGATGTGCCCGCAACCAAGGTACATGCCCTTGACCGGAATCGTACCCGGGACCTTTCAGTCCGCAGGCCGACGCTCTATCCACTAACCCGTTTCGGCGGAATCATAGTCTTAAGAGATGCTCTCAGTACAAAGGACTTGGTCAGGATCGCATCAATATGTTTTTGTTGATTTCAGGAAGGGAGAAGATGAGAGAGATGGAGACATCAATAAGAGAGAACATTGATCAGCTGCTTCCTGGCTGCTCTTCCTGGGGATCTAGCCTACTGAACCCCAAAAGGTTTAAATTTAGCAGTGGGCTCTGGCCGGATCAAACCGGTGACCTTCTGTTATATGGGGCAATGCCATG